ACGATTGGGGTATTATTTCGGTGTTGGATTGACTACGTTTTAATACAATAAATTAATAAATTTGTTAATTGTAAAAGGGGATATAACTGGGAAATTAGATTAGTAATGAATTACATTACCATTAAATAGAAATTATGTGAATTATAACTTGCCGCCATGATAGAAATCTCCTATTAAAAATGATGGGAAGTGAATTGGTCATATTTTTGTGAAATGAAGTAAAATTGGATTTAAGGCATAAGGTGGAGAATGTTATTGTAGAAGAAAAATGTAATTGGTTTTGTAATGGAAAGAATGAAATGTTAACATAATATGAGTCCCGGAGACTTACTTGAGTTTGGATCACTAATGCTTTACTTCTTTGCTGTTGATTGTTGGTCTTAAAACCTCATGAGAATTGAATTGCTAAAACACATGCGTTGAAAAACAAACACATAGAGGTTTTGTCCTTGGTCATCGGTGGAGGATGGCATTGTTGTGTTGAATGGTTACGTGTACGTTTTACGCTTGAGTTGGTTGCACTCTGTTGTGATTGCGTGTATAGATTGCATTGGTTGGTTGTACCTTATCATGTTGTGATGATTGAAAGGGGTGTAATGCGCTGAGAATCAGAGGTACCATTACCTTCCAGCTAGCGCCTGGAGAATTGGCTGTGCTGAGAATCAGAGGTACCATTCCCTTCCAGCTGGTGTCTGGTAAATTGGCATGTTGTTGTTGAGAGGTGAAACCATTGGCTTACTGTGCTTGAGGCAAGTAGAGCGGAGAATTGTTGTTATTGTTGTCTTACTTGGTTATGTGTATTATGTGTTGTGATGATCATGATTCGGCGAGATGGAATTGTCTTATATGTTGTGTAGATGTGTTTGAGTCTGTTTGGACATGTTGAGAGTGGTTGAGGGAGTTGCCTACCAACAATGAATTATTGATAATATCTCTTTAACTTGAACGTAAGGTTGAGATGCAATGAATGTGTGGAGTCAGACTTGGGTTTCTATTCTGAATTGATAAATATATGAGGGCATTGGTTTTCGTGAACGTGTTTTCAAAAATATAAAGTGGGTATTATGGGTATTTGTCACAAATGGAAACATGGAAATGGATAAGAGTTGTTCATTGGGAAAAAGGGTAGTAAAATTGGAAATTGATGTTGTTAAATAACTGAATGATTTTGAGAATAGTACATATATATATATATATATATATATATCCTTTGGTTATAAAATGTCACATTATTTATATGGTATAAGATTAGCATTCATGATCATAGCTATCTGTAAGTTGTTATTGTTGAGGATCATGTTGAGATCCCTACTGGACTATATGTTCATCCCACGTTGTTGAATCTTTTTCAGGTGATAATCAAGATGTGCTACAAGATTTCGGATCTTCTTTATTTGTTGGCCACAGGGCCTCTTTATGTGTAGGTGGAATGCCATTGATGTAAAAGGGTTACACCCTTTTTCTTGATTTTTAAATGATGTAAGCCTACGGGCAACTTCTTTAATTGTATATTCATGTTGGATTCATTTTTATCCGACTGAGAGAATTCTGTATATATATATATTCCTTGAGAATATTATGAGCTTCTGTGTGCTAACTCTGAAATTGAATATTTAATAATGGCTTGGTAATAGTAATCCGTCTAATAAAAAGTGGGGTGTGACAGATGGGGCAACTCTAGGCAATATGAGACACATTCTAACATCACACAACTAAGATAACCTAACTATTGAGGCTTGACCCTACAACAAATAACAGTAACATTAGCATAAAGAAGATGAGAGGTTGAGCATGGAGCCATCAATTTTTCCAATCTCAAAATCGTTAAGAAAACCACCTTGCCCCATTCTATCAATCATCATTATGAAAATCTCCAAAACCAAAATGCAACCAAAAATTTCAACTAGAATTTGGAAGAGGAGGTTTTGGTTATGTTCTCGAAGGAACATTGCTTGATTCCATTATCATAGCTGCGGAGAAGTTGGAAAACATCAACCAAGGGGAGAAGTTTGAGCAAAAGTCAGCATGCTGGGTTCTAGCCAACATGTTAATCTTGTTCGACTTTGTGGGTTTTGCTCTGAAGGTTACATGACTCCTTGGATTCCTATCTTTTCCAAGAAAAGGGGTAAAAAAAGGTTATGGACTAGAAAACAAGGTACAAAGTTTTACTAGGGATAACCACAGGGTTGGCTTATCTCCATGAAGAGTGCAGGGCCTGTATCATATGCCATGACCTTTAAACGTTCTATTAAATGTTGGAACTCTGCCCAAAAGTAATGGATTTTGGTCTGGCAAGCTTGTTTGGAGAGATTTTAGCAGGGTTCTGACAACTATGAAGGGAACAATTGGATGTCAAGCGCCATAGTGGATATTAAGGTTAGCCATAAGAACTAAAGTTGATGTTTACAACTATGGTATGATGCTTTTTTGAATTGATATCGAGAAGAATACACACTGATTAATTTGAAGAGGGGGAATTTAAATTCTTCCCAAATTAGGCTGCAAATGCATCCATAGAAGGTAGTGATGTCCTTAGTCTATGAGACCATAAATTGGAGAAAAATGTTGATGTTGAAGAGGTATGGAAAATTTGTAGAGTTTCTTGTTGGTGCATCCAAGATAAAAATCATAGGCCAACAATGGGTCCAGTAGTTTAGATCCTCGAAGGGCTTTCAGATGTGAAGCTGCCTCCAATTGCTCGTTTTCTCCAATTCCTTGATGACTAGGAGCTTATAGTTTTTTGTATTGTGTTGAGAATTGTTAACCATGGAGTAATACATGTTCAAATATTTACTCAGGCCAAAAGCACTACATTGTTTAAAGATTAAAAAGAATAATACAAGGATGTGCTTGAGCACTTACCTATGCAATTAACTATATCTATTTAGTGTTTTTGTATACATAGTGTATGGCTTTTAATAATCGTTATGTATTTGATACTTGTATATTCAATGTTGTGTGATCCATGGAGATCATAGTTTCACTGCAATGTTGGTTTTCTTCTCTACATAGCTAGGTATCTTTGGAATTTCAATTTTGGGATTGTAGATCTTCGACAACAAAGGTGTTTTGGTGATTGTGATTGGAGTGTAGTCTCTTTGATATGATAGTGACAGATTATTCCCTTTGTGGATCTAGTGTTGCTTCCATGGAGGCTATAATTGAGGGCAAAGAGGTTTCCATGGGGATCTATGATCCTCCAATTGGTTGAGGGCTTCATCCACACCTTTAGTTGATGAGTTAGTAGCTGCTTTGCCTTTAGTTAGTTGTGTGATCGGCGATTGATTCTTTGCGAATGGCGAAAGCTAGGTCTCTGGTGTGATGGTTTTGGTCTTCATAGTTTGGTTGCATTGGTGTGTTTCCAAGGGAGGAGGAAAGATTGGTGAAAACAAGTAAGAGTTTGCTGATCAGTCCAGCAAGCTTTGATGCTACTGGTGTGATTAGTGTGGTTTCGCCTATCTCCCATGGGAGTCCATTTTTTTTCAAACTAGGTGTATCTTCTCATCCTTCAGCAGTAGGTGTGCAACTCGGGTAAGTTTGGTCAGTTGAGGAGTTGCCTAGGTCCAGTCCAAATTGTGCTAAGAGTTGTCCAAGGCCAACCTTCTACTTGAACTTCTTTGTGCAAGCTTGACTTGAGCATAGTAAGTTCAACTTGGGCTAGGTCTGATTTACCCACAAATCTGAACTCTATTCATATATTTTGTTTATTTATTTATTTATTTTCTTACTTGGCTAATTAATTTGTTAAATATTAACATTTTTTCTACTAAATTATTAATAACATTAAAATAAACAATTTATATTATCAGAGAGAAAGACGAAGAGGAGAGAGATGAAAATCGAGGAACCCTTGTGCTGCTGGGGTGGCCTTTGCCATTTCTGAGTGACAAAGGGAAATGATAGGTTTTGTGGTGTGTTACTTGTGTATGTGATAAATATTGTGAATATGATCTAAATGTTTAGATTAATTTTTTCAAACTTTGGTCCCTTGCACCATCACCAAAATTGTCCTTTCACTTTTAATTGTGCCATTAGAAAATTTTATGTATGCCAATTTTCGTTAGTCTTAATAATGCTAGAATTGTGAATTGAAAGTCATAGGTGCAAATTTCAAATTCAAGTGGGTATACAAACCCACCACCGAGGGTGGTGGCCCAGTGGTGAAGGCATTGCCTTCCCACAGCCATGAGTCAAGTTCGACTCCTGGGGGGCGCGAAAATCCTGGATTTTCCAGGGGCTCTTTCCTAAGACCTCGCGCTGTACTCCGATCGCACTTGTCCATGGCTGGGGCAGTTGATGAGCTCCACTGGTGCCTTGGTGGTAGGTCTCTTCCTATGGGTTGGGTTAAACCAGGCGGCAACCGGCTATCCCGGGGTCTGGGCCTGCAGAGGTCTTGATGCCCCCACAGAACCTCCTTTTTTCTGGTTCAAAAAAAAAAAAAGTGGGTATACAAACCCCACTTGGATGCAGCTCTGCTATTAAATTTCATTTTGACTTCTCATTGGAGTGACAAGCACGTGGATGACTGCATTTCGTATTTCTAGTTTATCAAATGTCGAATGATTAAATATCCCAAACATTGAAAAACCATGGCACATGTATTGAAATGTATATTTTTTTCATCTTTTCCTGCTCTTGGTGGCAAAAAATTGAAATATTCTGTGCGCATTTTGTAATTAAATCACAATAGAAGACAATCAGCCTTTAGTTTCTTTTATCATGACATGATCTGTGCGCATTTTGTTAAATTTTGAGACCCATTCTTCTAAAGATCCTAGTCATCCTCCTTTTTATACTCCTTCCCCTTTTGTGCAGATATCATTGGGTAATTATCAGACAATATTCATACTTAATGTTTTTTGTATTCTTTCTATGCTACATCTCTTTCACCAACCATCTCTCCCATGGAGCTGACAGCATCTCTGCAAATCAATCTCTCTCTGGGGACCATACCATTGTCTCTGCCTGTGGAAACTTTGAAATGGGTTTTTACAAACCAGGTAAGTCTTCCAACTATCACATATGCATATGGTACACGAAAGTATCTACACAAACCATAGTGTGGGTAGCAAATAAAGATATACCTATCTTTGATAAGTATTCTTCAGAACTGAGAATTTTAGATGGTAACTTAGTGCTTCTCAACGAGTCCCAAACCCCAACTTGGTCAACAAATCAGAACTCCACCACTTCAAATTTTGTGGTAGCAGTTATTGGCGATGATGGTAATTTGATTTTGAAAGATGGGTTTAATTCAACACAACCAATTTGGAAAAGTTTTGATTACCTTGTTCACACTTGGTTGCCCGGTAGCAAGATTTCATATAACAAGCGAGCCAATACACACCAAAGTATAACTTGGAAGAACTATGAAGACCCTTCACCAGGACTATTTTCTCATGTTCTAGATGCAAATAACAGCTATCTTTTGTTGTGGAATGGGTCTAAATAGAATTGGACTAGCGGTCCTTGGAATGGGGATATTTTTAGCTTATTACTTACAACGAGACAAAATTATATGTGTAATATTAGCTTTGTTGACAATGAAAATGAGAGTTATTTGAAATATTCTCCCTATGATCCTTACATTATATCTAGAGTTGTTATGGATGTTTCGGGGCAACTCAAGCAACTCACTTGGTTGAAGGGCAGCCAGGAGTGGAATTTGTTTTGGGCTCAGCCGAGACAGTAATGCGACATTTATGCTTTATGCGGGCCATTTGGAACTTGCAATCAGAATTGAAAATCCTAAGTGATTTGTGATTAGATCAAGATTTAAACATTCCAATTCCCAAACAAGAAAAACAAACAATCTAAATCATCAAGCACTTACGGAAGTGATTTAGATTGTTGTTTTCGAAAAAAACAATAAATCAAAACAAACGATTTTTACGTGAAAAAATCACAATTGAAGCACCTTCAATTGTAATAAAAAACCACGGGCAAAATGCCACTAATCAATTCACTACTGAAGAACGAAAGATTACAAAGATAACAAACAAATTACCAAACTCATCCAATTTATCTTCGTACCTTCTGTAACTCTTTCAACAAGCCTTTGTCTTGGAATTAATTAATCTGAAGTTGAATCCAGAACTTCACTTGTCGAATCAACGACTACGTACAGAATCAAACTCCTTTGAAACTCCACGTTTGAATCTCCGGATTCCACCGAAGAAGAACACTCTTGTATATAATCAATCAACCTCCTTGATATGTGCTTATCAATTCATGAGTTTAATACTCACTCAAATTATCAAGGAAAACACACAAAAAATACTTTAGAAGAAAACCTTAGAAAACCTCAAAGTAGATCTCCAAAACCTAATCCTAGTTTAGGATTAAAATAGATACTTATAGAAATCTGGAATAGTGAAGCTCGCTCGAGCGAAGCTTCTCTCACTCGGGCGAGGAACTCATCTCGCGTGATTTCCATAAGTGGCATCGCTCGAGCCATGCAACCTATGCTCGAGCGCACATTCACCACTCTCAGGTTTTTGCCAGACGCAGTCTTCGCTCGAGCAAGGACTCCTTCGCTCGAGCGAGCAAGACAAAACAACGAGGAAATTTACAACTCAATCACACAAGTTTGTTCGCGGGATTGAGAAGACTAAGGGACCTAACAATCTCCCCCTTTGTCAATACCCGGACAAAACTTTCTAACATAATTTCCTAGAAAACAAAAGTACTAAGAAAACAAACCAACCCAATGGAAAACAACTATCTCAAAACAATCTTGAACTAACAAACCAATCTCGATGGAAACCTGTAAAACTAAAAACAGAGATATCAGAAACCATCAAGACATAATAAATTAGAAAGCAAATGAATATCCCATACAAAACATTAGTCCAGTGCTATTCCAATGCTATTCAAAACATTAGTCCAATGCTTCCTGCAAAAACCATCATGAGTGTGCAACATATATCCACATATATACCCCCCAAAAACACAAAACATAATACTCCCCCTTTTTGGCCACGAGTGACAAAAGAAACAACTTTCCAAAAACAAAAAACTGTCCAAGAGAAAAAAAAACAACTGTCCAGAAACCATGAGTCAAATATCAGTAAAAAACTAGACTGAAGAAGGGGGCTGCTGCATCTGAAGTAAGAAAAGAAGCGGTGCAAGCATAGTGCTCTGCTTATCAAGTCGACTATCAAGGGTATCCATCCGAGCATCCAACTGGTCAAGCCGATGCGTGACAGACTGCTCAAACTGCTACAGCTGGCCATGAAATGATCTAGGACGCATCTCAGGCAGATCCGGTGCACCAGCAGTAGTTGCATCAAATTCCTCCTCCTCAGCACAGGGATCATCACCTGTGTCAGACATCCCAACTCCCGACACGCACCCCTAAACATGAGCTTGACTCTAGGAAACTGTCAACTTAGTAACGGGTTTTATAGGAGAAGCAAACTCATCATCATCATAAACAGGAACATTAAGAGAAGTGAGAAATCTAGTGAGCAAGCATCCATACGGAAGACCTAAGGACTTACATCCCTCAAAAACAGAAATGATCTTTGTGACTATCATCTCGGGTAGGTCAATGGGAAGCCTGTGATCGATGCAATACAACACATAACCCTGATCTTGGGTAATGTGAGAAGAATGGGTGGTGACATGAAGATTAGCACACACAATGATATTCAGAAGACGAAACCGATGAAGCTGCTCATTTTGCTAAATGAGAGAAATGTCCTCCCCAGTGCTTTTGAGTTACTACCCATTCGTTCCTTGCTCGATTCCTTAGGAGGGGATCAAGTGTTGCATTTCTTGGGGCCGCAGAATCTGAGTCTTATTCGTGAGTTCTATTGTAACATGCACTCCATTCGCAAAGAAATTCCGGCATCATTCAGCACTTGGGTTAAGAAGCAGTCTTTAGTCATTATAGGGGATGTTTTTCAGTTGTTTCTTAGTAATGAAGATGCAGGTCTAATGAAGACAAACACCCCTAAGGCGAGTGAAATCAGAGAGATGAAGCAACAATGGAAGAGAAATTTCCCAATGAGAGTGAGAGAGACAACAAACGAAGCTAAAGAGGGCAAAACTTGAAACGAAAAGACACAATAGCAGTATTTAAACCACGACAGGTCGCTCGAGCGAAGACTCTCTCACTCGAGCGAGTACACTTATGCGCAAGGGGTTGCTCGAGCCAAGATCTTGACTCTCGAGCAAGAAAAGCATGCTCTCAGGTCTAAATTAGAAGCAGACGCACGCTCGAGCGAGAAATCCTTCGCTCGAGCGAAGAAAAAAAAACAAAAGATACCAAAAACCTCTTTTTTTTTTCTTTTTTTTTTAAAAAAAAGAAGTAAAAATCCAATACTCACACTATGTCCTGAAACCTGAAACAGAAGTTAGTGAGCACAAGAGAATGAAGGTGATACTAAGATGAAATAATCTACAAACCATGAAGCCCGCTGATTTACAATTTTGACAAGTTGAAGCAAATAATCATGAGCAAGTCAGATAAAATCAAAAACAATGAACATAAGCTACATGAGAATGTACAACTCCGAAACCAGCATGAGAGCTCACAAAGATAATGTGTGTGTGTGTGCAATCCATGAGAGGCCACAGAACTGGAGTTAATCCTCGTAGTGATCGGATGGTTGGACCTCCGGCAAGAGTAACTGAACATCACAGAGAAAAGTCAAATCACTAGAGATCACGGGGTATTTGTTGAGTAAACGCGGAGGCTCCCCCTCAATCAATGATTCCCTTTTCTTTTTTTTTCAAATTTTCTTTCTTGTGGGCACTCACTAGTGGCATGCACGCTCAAGAGTATAGAGACCAAACCAGAGAAGAATGAAATAAAAAATGATGGCCTGGTTGGTGCCTTTGAGGTAGCCTTTTCCTAATGCTTGGACTTCAATGAGTTGAGGGAGAAACCGTGGAAGTGAAAACATATGGTAGATGGTTAAGAGACTCAGCATCACCCATGATATGCTAGTATAGGTCAATTTCTTTAAAAAAGTACAAGAAACACTGTTCGTGGTCCATGGAGAACTTTGGTCACTTGTGCGGAAACCTCTGCAACAGTTTATCTCAAGGATACAAAATGAGATCATGAAGTAAATGAGCATGGACATTCAGAATGAGCTATGAACAATGACGAACGAGATCTTGTAACCAACATGAGCAGTGTTCATATAATTTTTTTGATGCAAAGATAACAGGAATCAATGACTATGAGATTATAGCATCCAAGCACACGAATAGTAGACACTCACTCCCCTTCAAGTAATAGGTAACACCCTAGTGACTGAGCACGACACCCAAGGTCTTTCTATGGAACTCAAACTGAAGAAGATCAAGGGATTTTGTAAAAATACCAGCTTTTTGATGCTTAGTGGGTACATGTTTAAGAACAACAAGGCCTTCTTCCACTAACTCTCGAATAAAATGATGACGAATGTCAATGTGTTTGGTGCAAGAGTGTTGGACAGGATTTTTTGAAATGTTTATAGCACTTGTGTTATCACAGAAAAGAGTGAGAGTGTTCTGATCTATAACATAATCATGAAGCATTTGCTTCATCCACAGCATTTGTGCACAACAACTCCCTGCAGCAACGTACTCAGCCTCAATAGTCGAAAGAGAGACGGCATTTTTCTTTTTACTATGCTAGGCAACCAAATTATTCCAAGGTAAAAACACCCCCTGGATGTCCTTTTCCTATCATCAGCACACCCTGCCCAGTCGACATCGGAAAAACCAGTAATTTTAGCTATAGTGTCAGTAGAAAACCAAACCCCATACCCCAATGTCCCATTAACATATTTAATGATACGTTTGACCGCAAAAAGATGAGACTCTTTAGGACTGGCTTGGTAACGGGCACAAACTCCTACACTGAAAGCAATATCAGGACAACTGGCAGTCAGGTAAAGAAGACTCCCTATCATACTCCTATAAAGGGTAGGATCAACATCAATACTAGAGGAATCATTGGAAAGGTGAAGACTGGTGCTCATAGGAGTGTGTGCATGTTTGGCAGACTTAAGACCAAACTTTGACACAATATTTTTGGCATACTTAGTCTGAGAAACAAACATACCTGAAGGAGACTATTTAATTTGTAGGCCCAAAAAATAAGACAACTCTCCCATCATGCTCATCTCAAACTCATGTGTCATGCAATCTGAAAAATATTTCACAAGATGACCAGCAGTGGATCCAAACACAATGTCATCAACATAAATTTGAGCAACAAGAATATGAGACTTAGTATGTTTCACAAATAAAGTCTTATCCACACTACCCCTTTGAAAGTCATTATCAAGAAGAAATGTAGTAAGTCTATCATACCAAGCCCGAGGGGCTTGTTTCAATCCATACAAAGCCTTGTCTAACTTGTAGACATGATTTGGACATTTAGGGTCCTCAAACCCTTTTGGTTGCTCAACATATGCCTCTTCTTTCAAGTACCCATTCAGAAAGACACTT